AGAAAGCGCGACCAGAAGCGTCTTGTAGTACCCTGTATGATTGGCCATTGGTCGGCCTGGAGGCCTTGGTGTCGGGCCTACTTGACGAGGGTGCGTTGCGACGAGCCAGGTATTGCTCTCGCTGCCCTTCAGCGCCACCACCGGGTTGCCAGCAGCGGTCGGCGAGGTGCCCCTTCTTTTTGCAGTTGGAGCATACGCGGGCGGAGCCTTGCGAAGAGGTCACGGTGAGGGCAATGGACGGAGGGGCAACGCCAGCGGCACGGTCAGCGCGAATCTGCATCGCCTCATGCTTGATCCGGTCAAGGACTCGATCAGCGGTGAGCGGTGAGGTGGAGGTCGACTGATCGTTGACAATTTGGTTCATGAGGGGCCGCATCTTTGCTTTCATCTTGTGAAGAAGAACAACGACAGTGAACGTGTCCTCAGAGAGGGGGCCCATCTGGAACATGTGAGATACCTCAGCGGCCGTCCGACGGGCTTGATTCTCGATGTCGCTTGATGCGTTAGACGGGTCAAGGTCGTCGCGGAACAGTTCCTGTATCGTCATGAGTTGGGCGTAGGCCCTGCGCTTGACATGGCGATCTTGGAGAGCCAACCACAATTTTCGAGCGGAGGAGGAGGACGCGATGAGATGAAGATCGGTGTCCTCGATGTAGTCCTCCACCAGGGCAATAGCCAGGCTGTTTGTCTGAACCCAATTGGCGTGGTCGAGGGGGAAGGTGTCCGCATTGGGACAAGGGAGAGTCCCGTCGACGTAGCTCTTGAGAGGGGGTGAACCACCGCAAAGGCAGAGGGTGTTGAGGATACGACGAGACCACTCCGGCCAGTTGCATTTCGCTATGCTGAGCCGTTCCAAGGTGCTTAAGCGACCATGGACCCATGAAGGGATCGACACCAGGGAGATGGGGGGGCTCGACCTGATCTGGCGAGGCGAGGATACGACAACCTTGGTGGCCTTGGGAGACGAGACGGTGAATGATGCGCCCTCGGATCCGGCCATCGTGTGCAGTAGAAGAGAGAGGAAAGAGGTGACTATATGCGCACCGCGACTGTAAAGGAGTGGATATATGCGCCACAAACGCCTGCCGAAAATCGATACGGCAATAGTAGAGTGCTCCAAGTGATAGAATTGACTCGAGTTGAGGCTGGGGAGCGCAAATGGATGACTACAGAGCTGCCTGGCAGAAACTTCAGGCGCAGGGCTCATAACCTGTTGAAATCTGTAGCCCGTGTATGAGAAGCCTCACTCGGATAGATGGTAGAACGAGTGTATTATACCTGTAGCCCGTGTATGAGAAGCTACAGGGTACTGTAAGTGTGCTGATAATGCTGGGGACGACGTACCCTCACTCGGATAGATGGTAGAACGAGTGAGGGACGTTGGAATGTGACGAGTGATGTTTAGTGTCTACGGGAGATGCCGATCTACAGCGCCTAGTGCGTTGAGCGTGAAATCTAACACCTTGCACTACACTATACATCACTACCCATCCATCCCTCTCAGCGATTATAAGCGCCCTTGACGATCTCGCATCTGCTGCAAGGCGCTTACATAAGGGCTTCAGATAATCGCAGAGCGAATAACTAGGCTAGGTTATTCGCATGTTGTCAACAACGTTGTTAACCTGCGAATATCGCACTTGCGAAGAACCTGAAAGTTCTTCGCCCTACACTAATGCGATCAAGTGGCCGCTCCGGACGGGCGAGCACGATTCGGCGCTCCTGCTGAATAGGATTCGTCACGTCTCACGTGGAATGTGACACACTGCGCGTCTGAGCCGTAACTGCTCCTCTCGGCCGAACCTGGCCTTGGTTCCTGTGCGACACAGACTTGGGCGGAAAGGGAGGCAATGAAAAAGCTTGGCCATGGTCTTGACTGCGAACCGCCATTCCCTACTAGCCCCAGGACCCCCTGCGAAGAGTTCGACAAGGAAGACTATCATCGGCGAGATAGATCTCAGCCCCAACTACTCGATGTTCAAGCATATCATGTGGAAAGTCACTCAAAGTGGTTGATGGGTATGTGCATACGTAAATGGCTTGTGTTCGCGCAGCCCTCATTGACCAAGGAGCCTTCTAGCTCGCGACCATCCTCCGTCGCGACGCGTGGTCATACACTACCGTCAACGAAAGTATGCTGGAGTTCCTATGCTACTCGTCCCTGCCACGCTGTCCACCTTGTACCACACCATGGTGCTTCCGGTGCGTCGTCCACGCCTTCTGTGTGTTCTGCGTATATATGCCTGACCGTCTTTTCTCTTCTCCACCCTGCACGAGTGTAATGTCCCTGCGCCATGGGCCACATGCTCTCATTATTCCGACGGACTTCCCTTTCGACGTCTACACCGGAGTCCAGGCCCTGTCATATCCCAAGAATTTGCTCTCCCTGCAGCCTCTGCCGTACCCAGCGCCGGGTATGGCAATGTGCTCGCGTGTTGTGACTTGATCGTCGTGGGCTTTGAGCCGCTGAGCGCCGAGGTGCGTCCCCATCGTCTTGTATATCTCCCCGTCACCCTCCATTTGCGTCTAGCCCAGGTTCTATGCCGTACATAGCATAGACCAAGCGTCCATGCTCCACCCCACGCGCATCATCTACGAAGCCCACAGGCCGTATATTGGTCTCACCCTCTAGTCGACGTCTCCATCAAGCCGTCGTCGGGGCGTCCGAACGCGCATAGGCTCGCATTATTGGGCTCAAGGCCGATATGGGGCCTGCGCACAGATGGGAGGGACGTGCAGAAGCTTTGGGCCGATGCGCGGGAGGAGTAGGAAGATCGTTGGAGGGTAGAGACTACAACGAGGTATGCAAACCTCTGGGATATCGGGCCAGGGAGGTATCAAACCTCCCAACCCACGCGGTCTGAGTGATACGCGTCGGTTAGAGTTTCGGTTAGGGTTCGGTTAGGGTTCGGTTAGGGTTCGGTTAGGGTTCGGGTTCGGGTTCGGTTAGGGTTTGGGTTTGGGTTAGGCACTGCTCACACCTCCTCCTCCCCCAAGAAGGGAGGCCGTCTGTATTTATCGCGCGAACGAGGCTTTAGAGTGCCCGCCTGAGTGCTCCTGGCTCGGGGGACTCCCCGAGCGCAGCGAGGGAGGGGAGGGAGCACGAATGGCGGGTCCTCTTCGCGCAGCCCCCATCAAGCGCCACAATGGTAACTTCGATCATCAAAAAGTGCGCGCTGATGCGCCAGCGTCGGTGGTCTTCCGTGTCGCGCGTCCCCCACCCTCCTCGCCCGCTGCACCTGCACAATGCTCTCCGTCAGTTGGACAACGCTGTCTCCTCAATTGCGACCTCCTCAGAGAAGGAAGTGTCCG